AATTGCAGAAAGAGAGGCATGGGCTATGCAAAAGTTATTAAAAAAGAGAGTATTGAAAAAATGGATAAGTTTTCAAGATATTGAAAACAATGGGTACTCAGATGCCCGCCCAAAAAAAGAGAGATGAATAAAATAGCCCATGTTTTCTTGCAAAAGTTTTTCAAGTTTCAATCAAGAGAGATATATTTCAATGAGCATAGTAGAATTAGGTTAGCCACCATATACATATCCACACACACATGCACATCATGATCTAAGAGTATGACATCTTTCTTCTTGGATCCTTGTTTTAACTTTACAATATATGCAATGCAAGTATGTTCTCATATTCATCCCTACCTGAGCTCCACATAAGCTTTTAGAAGTAGGTAAAAAGAAGGCAAAGTCATCAATGCATTGGTGAGGATCCAAAAATACCATATATACAGAGAGATTTGAGAGCACTACAAAAGGAGAAGGTAAGCTATGTTTTTGTTTTCAAAAATCTTAAAATGTTCTCCAATTGACTTGACTGAAGGAAGATGGTGATCTGTTTCAAGCTGTTCCGTTCTTTAACCGCCCAAAGTTTCATGGAAGACACTTTGAATCCTGCAGTGCATGCATAACTAGGAATAGTTTTATGTTGATGATTTGTCCCAAGGTTATGTCTTAAGTAATCCATCCTTTTATCGAGGACAAGTAAAAGTCAAAGTGTGGGGGAGCTTGTTAACGAAAGTTAACATTCATCACAAACCATCAATATAACTTGTATAAATGGCTAAAATGGATCACCAATGTAGACTTAGGGGTTTAAACTGACAAATTCCACGAGTTTTGGTGAATTTGTGTTTCCAGCATGATTTAATCAGAAAACCACCAAGGATGACCTATTTGTCAAAGAAAATTATGGAATTCCGCCACGTAATCAATGTGGGAAGACTCTAGAAGACTCTAGAAGATGAATCATCGAAGCAGAGCCCATGCCCCTAACATGTTGGGCCGGTCGGCCCGACCTGTAGGCCGGCTGGCCTGTGGGCCCCCCACATCAGCCTCCTGTTGCTATGTTGATTATCCACTGCCTTAAGGATTGCATCTCCGCCATTTATTCAAGTCGGTTTGATCCGAGGGCTCAGGATTGATGCTTCGGCCTATATATACCTGCATGCACCCCCCCTCTAGGGCAGATACCTCATTTAATCTTGAGAGTTGAGAAACCAGAGACCCTAATTCATATGTCCACCAGGATTAGAGCTAGCAATCAAGAGAAGATTAGTCCTTAATAGGATCTAGTCTTGTATTAGAGATAGTGAGATAGAGTGAGAGGGAAGAGTCTGGAGAAGTCTCGGCCTATCGATGCTCTCTCTACAGATTGTACCCTAGCGGAATCAAGTTCTTCTTGAGCTTGCTTATGAGATTTCACTGGTAATCGACTTCTAATTCAAGTAAGCATCTTGTTCATATTGTTCTTCAGGTTTGCGACTCTCTTTTGAGTACTTTAATCCTTGTAGCTCCTGAGTTAAAGTAGTATTCATAGTGTAAGTGTGGTGCTTAGACTCGGTTACTCATGGATGTACCCTATTTTTTGGATCGGTGGTAGCTCGCGAGGGTGACTTTTATAGCCTTGTTGAATCCTCTGTAGTCCACCTCCCGTTAGTAGGCTTAGCAAGACATTGTTGCTATAGGAAACATACTCTGCCTATGTTTTCTCTAGTAATATCTCTAAAATTGAATAATAGAAGACAAAGCTTACGAAGTTAGAACTAGAAGACCTTAGTAGTCTCCTCTACACTCCTATTATATAGCCTTGATTGTGAAGTTGGAATAAGTTAGATTTGATTATTCTCATACATGTTTCCTCGAGTTTGATATAAAACTAGGTACTCCTGGTGAAGTGCTACATCGGTATAATATCCGTGCGCTTGCGGATTATTCTATGTGCATTAATTTATACCAACAATGGGTCTTATGCATGGTGTATCTACATTCCATAAGTTGTAGAGGCCCTAGAAAGTATCTTTCCAAAGTACACAATATCATCACCTATGTTCTTAAGCACATTGGAAGTACTGATAGTAAGTAGCAACAAATTCTTATCGACACTATGTTATACAAACATAGGAACGAGGTCTCCTTGTATTCAATGGCCATCTCCCTATGTGTCATGCCCTCATCCGAATTTGTTGTGCAATATTTAAAAGGTGCAGAGGGGAGAGCAAAACATAGAGAGAGCAACGAGATTATTCTCGCTAGGTGTACCCCGAACATCTACCCTAGACAGATTAAAATCCCCCACTTCCCTGCTTTCAAGATCTCACAAATGATGGGAATTCATACCCAAAAAGTCCATGAAACATGCAATGGAATAAAAGAGTGGTAGAAATTTAGCATGTTTGAGATGCAAAGTTATCGGCAATCCATAATAGCCAAAATAATGAGGACATATGCAAAAGCTTTAGGAATTAATTAGGACTCAAACATATAGAAATCAAAACATAGACTACATGAGTGACATGACAATAGTAATCAATAATTCTCCAAGTCTTTAACACATAACAAACTAACAATGGTATTAGACTTCTAGTTCTCCTATCTCTAGTTCTTCATTATTGACTAGCAATGCAGAAGTAGTATGGAACAATAACTAAACATAACCCATAGGAATCAAGTTTACAGTGGTATATAAGACTAGCAAACCCAAGATAATAGTGCCATCACATATTAGCCATTACAAAAAAGGTACATAAAGAGTTCATGCTGAACTTTTTTAGAACACTGCATGCGCTTGCTCATTGCACTAGTAGGGACAAAGACTTATAGTTAGAGAGGAGCCAACATCAATGTCCTTTGAGGTGGTTAAGAACTAGAGGATGAAGAAGGGTTTCATCAGCCATCAATGAAGGATAAAAGCCAACATGGAAGCACTTGTTCACTCAGTCTCTCACTATTTGTCTATTTGACGTGTGAGATCTCTTGATGTGTGATGAAGCGGCGATGCTGCAAGGTGCTACTTAGGCACATGGGCGGTGTGTACTACTAATTATGGGGGATAGGTGGTGGGAAGAGTAGAAACTAACTCGACAAGATGCGGCCAAGTGAGGTAGGGTTATGTAGCTTTTATTTAACTGATTGCTTTGGGCTTAGCTAGGCCAATATACCTATATTGGGTTTATTTCGGTTAGTGTGTGAAATGCATTATATAAATTTTGGAAGCCCTGATGGGTAACGGAGAAGGGTACATAGGGAATGGGCCGACCCTAATGTATTCGATATTGGGCTGAAATTTGGCCGTAAAGCCCTCTAGGGGAGTGAAATCAACCCATCAAATGTCCCCTAGTGGGGAAATCTCCATCAGGGATTGGGGATTGGGTCCATTACCATGCCTAGCAGAATGCTTATTTATCATGTGCACTCTAGAAACATAACTTGTGGATGAATGACATGATCAAGACCACTATCTGTTTCATATAGAAACCCACCGCGTGCGATAGGATTCCTTTTCCCCTCCAGATTCTTATTTGACTCTTGTCTCTATTTGTTCTAGACACCCCATCACCAGAGTTCGCCTCCTTGTCAATGAACCTCAACTCCCCACCACCGCAAAAATCCCTCTCTCTGCTTTCAATTCATTAGATAGGTCTGCTTGTCACTGCCTTGCTAGTTCCCAAGAAGGACTAGCTCCATTGCTCCTTACTAGAGTTGCCAAAAGGAGGGCCACAATCCTTAGCAGATGTGGAGCTCTCATTGGTTCCATCTCGTCCATTGGAGGAGGAGGGCACCATCAGTGGCGGATCTAGGACAAAATCCTAGGGGGGCTGAACAAGCTGTTGTGCTGGGCGCTGGATGCTGGCTACTACCGTGCTACGCTGCTGCTTGCTGGTGCGGGCGTTGTGCAGCGCTGCTCACTCTAGAAACATAACTTGTGGATGGATGACGTGATCAAGACCTTTTTCTTCTTCATATAGAAACCGATCACGTGTGATACGCTTTCCTTTTTGCCTCCGCATTCTTATAATCTCATTTGACTCTCATCTCTAGTCTTTCTCGTTTATCCTAGACACCCCATCGCTAGAGTCTGCCTCCTTGCCAACGAACCTCATCTCTGCACCACAAAGTCCTTCTATTTGCTTTCATTAGATCAGTCTACTTGTCCCTGCCTTGCTACTTGCCAAGCAGAACAAGTTCCATTACTCCTTATCGGTTGCGACAAAGGAGGGCCGCTGATCTTTGGCAGATGTGGAGCTCTCATTGGTTCCATCTAGTCCATTGGAGGAGGGCACCATGGCAGGCACCGGTGTCGGTATTAAGCTAGCGTAACTCTTATTTTTCTTTTAAGTTGAAAACATTATTTGATTTTAAATCCTTTAAGATGAAAAGTTCCATTTAAAACTTCCTAGTTGAATGAAGTTTTTCTCAACTTGAAAGTTTTTTTGTATTATTTGTATGTGAAACTTTAGACTTGGAGTGTTTAGACTTAAAACTAATTATTTCCGGCTTCACTTGAGGCTAACTAGTACCAAAAGCCACCAATTTCAATCATGTAGGAATTTACTCGCGGCTCTGATATGGTTGTTTAATTGGAGTCAAAATGTGAAAGGAGTCCCAGCCTCCCAGGAACTCAACATTTCCATCAGCAGTATTGAACCAAGATGGCACAGTAATAAACCGCTGCCAAAGTGCCAACTCTAAAGTTTGGTTATCTTTAGTGGTTATAAAAGGAAATCTTATCTGTAACAGTTTATGAAGCTAGCTGGTAGTAATGCATAAGCTCTAAACAAGGAACAAATATAATATCTGTTATACATATAGAATTGTGTGCTGTAATAGATATTAGATATTAACATATATATGCATTGGATATATGGAAAAATGATACCTAGCTATAAACAATCAGGATATGAGCACATTGAATTTCTTCTAAACACGAGAATACAACCGATCACGGTGCATACAAAAGGCACAGCCTGCCACATCGTTTTGTTTGCATTGCAAAATCGAGTGCAGCAGCTACGATAATCAAGACAATGGAGCATGGTGTCGTCGCCGCTGGGAAGCCCAAGGTGGACTTTGTGCTCGGCGCCACAGCTACCGGGAAGTCGAAGCTCGCCATCGCCCTCGCCCAGCGCTTCAACGGTGAGGTTATCAACGCTGACAAAATCCAGGTCCACGATGGCGTGCCCATCCTCACGAACAAGGTCACAGAGGAAGAGCAGGCCGGGGTGCCCCACCACCTGCTCAGCGTGCGCCACCCCGACGCCGAATTCACCGCGGAGGAGTTCCGACACGAAGCGGCCGGCGCCGTCGCCCGGGTGCTCTCGGCGAGCCGCCTGCCAGTCGTGGCAGGCGGGTCCAACACCGACATCGAGGCGCTGGTGGAAGGCGACGGCGCCGCCTCCCACGCGGCGCACGACCTCCTCTTCGTCTGGGTGGACGCCGAGCGGGAGCTGCTGGAGTGGTACGCCGCGCTGCGCGTGGACGAGATGGTGGCCCGCGGGCTGGTCAGCGAGGCTCGCGCGGTGTTCGGCGGCGCCAGGGCTGACTACACCCGCGGCGTGCGCCGCGCCATCGGTCTGCCTGAGATGCACGCGTACCTGATGGCGGAGCGCGAGGGCACCGCCGGGGAGGCCGAGCTCGCGGCCATGCTGGAATGCCTCAGCACGCTCGACGGCTGGGACGTCCGCCGCATCGACATCACTCCCGTGTTCGCGCGCAAGGCCGATGGCAAGGAGTGCCACGAGCAGACGTGGAAGAAGATGGTGTGGGAACCATGCGAGGAGACGGTGAGTGCTTTCCTCGAGCCGTCCTTGACAACCGTTCCAGGCGTTGCAGTACACTACGTAGAAAACGATTTTTAGGAACGGTTCGATTTTTTTGTAGGGGCGGCTGGTGATGGAGCCGCCCCTACATAGGCGTGCTAGGGTGCCCAGACACCAGCCACCCCTACAAACGGAACAGTAGGGGCGGCTGGTGTTACGAGCCTTCCCTACAAATGGGGTCTGATTTGTAGGGGCGGCTCAATCACCAGCCGCCCCTGGAAATGGTATTTGTAGGGGCGGCTGGTGATTGAGCCACCCCTACAAATGGCCCCGTATTTATAGCACCGATTTGTAGGGGCGGCTCAATCACCAGCCACCCCTACAAATGCCCCCCATATAAAACAGATGCAGCTCCTTCTTTCTCCTCGGGTCACTCACTCCAACCCATAAAAAAAAGGTGGAGAGGCCTTGGGCACCTCCCAAAAATTGCTCTACTAAGGGGAGAAGGTTTTGGTCTCAAATCCTTTGGTGGAGAGGCTGTAGAAGGTAAGAAAATGCTATTCCAAACTTTTTTTGAAGTTTTAATGGTTGGTTAGTGAGTAATTAGAGTTTTGTTTTTCTCTCTCTTCTATGGTGCTTGAGCTATTTATGAGCAAATTAGACCCAACTTTTAAATGTACTAGGGTAAATTAGGGTGGGGAATAAGATCATACCCTTATTTGGTCCATGTTTCTTGATTTTAGTGAACCATTAGTTAGTTTTATGGATGTTTCATGTGCATGTGATCTAGATCTAGGGTTTGGTTTTTTTATTAATTTCATTTTTGTAAATTTATGTTTGATAAAATTAGACTAGGGTTTGTATGAAAGATATTGGGTAAAGTATAATTATTGCTAATTGTTGTCTTTGAAATTGTTTATTGTAATCAATAAATATGTATTTTAATTATTTATGGATAAATGGGCCATTAATTAATTTTTCTCTACCATGGTGTGTTTGTATGCTTTATGAAATTATATTAGATTTATATTCATATATATCTGAGGTATATACAATTATTCTCAAATAATTATTACTTTGATTCATTTTTATATATATCTGAATAAGTAGTCCTTTAATGTTTGTTTTGTTGTTGTTGTAAAAGATGGAGTACATGAACTCTTGGATGTATGGTTCGTTAAGGTTCAAGGTAGGTTTCCGTGAAGAGGTGGATAAATTTATTGAAGCCGCAACGAAGCATGCAACGACATTGAAAGAGAATAAGGATACAATTATTTGTCCCTGTAAAGATTGCAAGAACCGTATGGCATGGACATATGTGACTATCATCAAATCACATTTGATTATGTGAGGATTTGTTGAGGACTACACAGTGTGGATTCATCATGGTGAAACGGTTATTGTTAACGATGAGGATGAGGAGGAATACGACGACGAAACCATAGAATCCATGTCCCAATATTCAGTAGAGCTTGATGCACGAATGGATTTTGAGTTTGGCAATGAACAAGGTGGTGATGCCGGTGGTTGGGATGGTAACGACGAATGTGGTGCCAACAATGATGGTGGAGCACATGTCGGAATTGAAGATGATTTAGATGACATGATTCGAACCCTTGAACCAGAGATTTTACTAAATAGCCCGAAAGGTCTAGAAAATTTAGAAAGAGTGACAAAAGCATCGAAGGAGACTATGTATGGTGTTGAAAAGGGCTGTCCGACACATTGGACATTACTACATTTCGTGCTTGAGCTGCTCATCCTGAAGGCTAAGTACGGCTGGTCAGACTGTAGTTTCAATGATCTATTTCATCTCCTATCATGGGTGCTGCCACAACCAAACTCAGTTCCCGCCAACACGTACCAAGCGAAGAAGGTCATAAGTCCATTGACAATGGGGGTTGAAAAAATACATGCATGCCCCAACCACTGTATACTTTTTCGTGGCGAAACGTTCAAGTCATTAGATAAATGTCCCCGGTGTGGGGCCAGCCGGAACAAGAACAATGACCTTTACGGTGGGGACAAACCATCCACGGGGAAAAAGAGGAATAAGAAGGGTACAAAAAAGGTGGTACAAGAATCTCAGCCCCCAGAGGACACTCCATTAGGCAATGATGCAAAGCAGAGAAGAATTCCTGCCCTGGTAATGTGGTACCTGCCAGTGACCGACCACTTGAGACGTATGTTCCTAAACCCTAAAGAAGCCGCACTCATGACATGGTGGGATGATGAGCGCAAGGTGGATGATGATAAGATTGCACACCCAGCTGATTGTAGTCAGTGGCAAAGGTTTGATGAGAAGCACAAAGAATTCAGTGATGACCTAAGGAATGTACGGTTTGGCCTGAGCACCGATGGAATGAATCCCTTCAATGAGAGGATGAGCAACCACAGCACATGGCCAGTGATCTTGACCATGTACAACATTCCAACATGGTTGTGTTAGAAGAGAAAGTACCTTCTCCTCACTATTCTTATTTCTGGCCCTAAACAACCAGACATTGATATAGACGTGTTCCTCAAGCCCTTGATGCAAGAAATGGAGAGGCTATGGAGGCATGGGGATTAGATGTACGATGCATTCCGAAAGGAGGACTTCATATGTAGAGCAATAATATTTGTTACTACCAATGATTACCCCGCGCTGTTTGCTTTGTCTGGACAGATCAAAGGGAAGACGGGATGCTTGGTTTGCTTGGATGGTACTACATGGGTGTACCTGGATGCATCCAAGAAGATAGTTTACCTAAGGAACCGACGCTTCTTAAAGACAAGTCACAAGTACCACAGCAAATTATTCTTTAGATTTTATGACAACGCCCCGGAGATTGAACCCCCTCTGGAGAGACGTCATAACTGAGAACATGTGTACAAAATGGTGAAAAACATACGCGTCGTCTATGGAAAGAAGAATCCGGATGGGACGAACAGAGATAGAAGCACACCTCCTGTCGAAGGCGTACCTTTCAAGAAACAATCGATCTTCTTTCAGTATCTGCCTTATTGGCCAAACTTGGAGGTCCCCCACGCCATTGATGCTATGCACGTGCAGAAGAATGTCTTTGAGAGTCTCATTGCTACCTTGATGGACACAAGCAAGGCAAAGGATGGTCTAAAAGCACGGAAAGACATGGTGCAGCTAAACGTGATGCCACAGCTTCACCCGGTACCTGAGGCTAATGGAAAATACACTCTGCCCGCGGCGTGCTTCAACCTAACACCAGACGAGAAGAGAGCTATATGCACTTTCCTGAGGGGGATCAAAGTCCCGACTAGGTTTTCAGCAAATGTGAAGAAGCTAGTGTCGATGAAGGACTTGTCAATAACACACTGCAAGGCTCACGATTGCCATGTGATGCTGACAGTGTTTCTACCTATTGCAATCAGGGCTATAAAGCCAGAGTTCTTGAAAATGGCCATCACCCGCATGTGCTACTTCTTTTCGAAGATCTCACAGAAGACGATTGGCAAGGAAGAGTTGAGTGACCTACATGAATTTGTGGTGGAGACACAAAACCAACTGGAGATGTGTTTACCTCCTGCTTTTTTTGATATAATGCCACATCTCATGATTCACATGGTTCATCAGATACAGGCGCTTGGCCCTTGCTAGTTGCATGAAATGTGGTCATATGAGCGGTTCATGTCGGTTTTGAGTCGATACGTGCATAATCGAGCATACCCAGAGGGCTCCATGATAGAGGGTTACAGTACTGAAGAAGTCATCGAGTGCTGTCAAGAGTACCTAAAAGTACATAAAGGGATTGGTAAACCCGATTCTCATCACAAGGGTAGGCTGGCTGGGAAGGGCACCAGTGGTAGAAAAGTGTTCATCGACCATGATTACAAAGAGGTGAGTCGGACGCATTATAGTGTCTTGCAGAGTACACAACTGATGCAACCGTATATTGATGAACACTTGGCTATCATTATGGCGGAGAGAAATGGCCGTTCGGATGATTCGGTCATGAAACAGCACAAGCAACGACTAACTATATGGTTGAAGGACCAAAACATACCGCATGAAGAAACCATAGACTCTATTACCATCAGTAGGATGGCGGAGGGGCCATCGAGACAAGTGACATCTTGGAATGCTTATGACATCAATGGGTACACGTACTATACCCACGGAAAGGATAGTAAATATGTGAACCAAAACAGCGGCGTTCAAATAGAGGCTCTCAATGGATTAGGGCGAAAGATCCAATACTTTGGCATCATTGAAGAGATATGGGAACTTGACTATGGAAGGGATATAACGGTGGCCCTGTTTCGATGCCGCTGGATCAAACAACACCAACTGAACGAGATCGGATTGAGAGTCCTGAACCTCGAGAATCTAGGCTACCAAGATGACCCTTGGCTGCTCGCTTCACATGTTGCACAAGTTTTCTATATGTCTGACCCACAAAGTAACCTCCCCTCGAAGAAGAAGACAAAGCACGTGGTTGCCTCCGGGAAACAACACATTATTGGAGTTGATGGCGTGGATGATGTTGAAGCTTACAATAAGTACGATGAGATGCCGCTATTCACAGACTTTCCTAAGAAGATCAGTGTTGTGGAAAAGAATCTCCCCAAAGACATAATGCCATGGGAACGAAAAGGTGTCAAAGGGAAAGTGGTTACAGTGGGCTAGCTAGTTGTTGAACGTGGAGTGTTTGTGTAAGTGTGTGTTTGTAAGACTTCATTTATGCATGCGTGTGAGACTATATATTTATGTACGTGTGTAAGACTACATATTTTTGTATGTGTATGAGACTATATTTTATGCATGTGTGTGAGACTACCCTTTGCAACATCCAGATGACTCTATTTGAACATCCACTTTATTACTACAAAATTTCATATTACTTTGTGTTTTGTGATATAAAAAATAGAAAATATTTGTAGGGGCGGCTGGATCAGGAAATGTGATGAATACCAAAGTTATATAACTCATCAAGATCTAAAACTTTTATTTTGGTTATTTCTTCATCTGACAAAATGATAGTAAATATTGTTCACAAATCAACATGTCTCTCATAGTTTATGAAACTATGAGTGATATGTGGATTTGTGAACAATGTTTACTAATACTTTATCACATGAAGAAATGATCAAAATAAAAGTTGTAGATAGTGATGAGTTCAACAACTTTTATATTCACGACTTTTGTAGTTGAAATCATTTAAGGTTTCAAAATCTAATTTGAAGTTGATATTTATTGAAATTCAAAATTTGAACTGTCCAAATTTAGTCCAATAAAAAGATGACCAAAATAAAAGTTATACATCTTGATGAGTTCTACAACTTTGATGTTTACAAAATTTTCATTTAAGGTCATTTAGTGGAGATGGAATTATTTTAGTTGTTTTAAATTTTAAATTTTAAAATATTCTTTTTGTAAAGAACAAAATATATAATTATATCTGTATATATATCATGAAATTATTTATATATAGAATAATTAAAAAAGTATTATATAAATTTTCATTGTGTTCTTTATATATAAATTACAAAATTATTAATTAAAATAAATTGAAAAATATTTGTAGGGGCGGCTTACTCAGGAACCGCCCCTACAAATCGATTTGTAGGGGCGGTCGGTGTTTTAAGCCGCCCCTGCAAATCGCACCGAGCATATATGCCGCCGCGCGCCCGGGCCTGACGTTTGGCTAAGTCCTGGGCACTACTCTTTTCACCGACGCCGACAGGCTGCCAAATCTCGCCACCGCCGCCTCCCTGACCTTTCCGCAGTGGACGCGCTCCGCGAAGCCGCCGCCCCGACGCTGGTGCCCGATCTCCTCACCCTCGGGCCAGAGCTCGACATCCCTAGGCCGCGACGGTGCCGCCCCATCTCCATGGCGGCTAGGGTTTCAGAGGCCAAGGCCGGCTGGCCCACCGGCGCCCCATCTCCGACCTCGACCTCCAACGCTGCAACCTCCGTCCCTTGGCTCTGTCCTTGAGGTCTCTTGGCCCGCTACCGCGCCGTTCCAGCTTCACCATGTGGGGTTCTTCCTCTGACCTAGAGAGCCGCCGCTGCCCGTCTCCGTCCTCGACCTCCCTCGCTAAGGCCTCCGTCTCCTCCAGGTACGCCAATCCCCTTCTCGATTCCTGCTTCTTCTCTAGGTATGTGCTATAGGGCACTGAAAATTATATGCTAATATTCATCAATAGAAACCAATGTGGTACTTAGTGACATTCCCTGATAGCCAATTTATGCATTACTTGTTCTAAACTGATGGTACTTAGATAGTGATGGTACTTTCCGCATAGTGATGGTACTTGTTTTCAGATGATGGATTGATGGATTAGTTATGTCGATCATGTAAGGTACTGAAGAGGGCTTTGATTGTTAGTAGGCAATGGTGCTGATGTATTGCACCTGTTAATTTGGGGATGATGATATAGTCATAGTGTCATACAGAAAAATTATACTTGTTGGACACACAGAATTTGTTGAAATTATTTGTAGCAGCTATTGCTCATGGAACCACTACAGAACTTGCCAATACAGAATTTGAAAACATTGATTGCATCTTTTACTAGTATGACTGAAATTCACGCCTTTATTATTTGTAGCATCTATTGCTGATGGAATTATAATTAGTTTTGATGGAGTGATTGTTTCAGTTACACTTAGTTTTGAACTGCGGCACTACCTAGTGGGAACTGGATTGCTGTTTTGGTAATAGTCTATTCATGCATTATATAGTGTGAAGTGAAACTGCATTGGTACTAGTCTATTCATGCATTACCTAGTGTTGTTTTCTGAACTGCATTACAGGGCACTAGTAAGTCTATTCATGTATTGATACTGAAAGTAACTATGCTAAGTGTCTGTAGTGTTGTGTCAGTACTATTAAATTTCTAAAAATAGGATAGTGGTCATTTCAGCTAAGTGTCAGTGCTCATTTCAGTTAAGTTTCGATGCTCATTTTAGTTAATTTTTAGTGCTCATTTCAGTTCAGTTTTAGTGCTCATTTCAGTTTCAATTTCAGTGCTATTTTCTGAATGTGAACTACCTGATGCTGTGATCTACCTGATGTGTTGGTTGTATTGTGCTCTAGAATTTCAAATTCCAAATAATGGTCTATTGTTGTGATGACCTGTAGCTAGTTTCTTGACTCGCCTCGAGTAACTGGTAAGCTGCAGTTGGTTACATATTGCCACCTAATTGAGACATACTGAAAACCTGAACCTAGACAAATTGTTAGCTTGTGCATGTGGCTCTTGGATGGTACTATCAGATTAAATTGACTTCATTATTTTTTGCTGGTTAAAAGAATAAGACATGGAAGTAAAATCAATTACCAATCACATATATTTCCATGTTTTTAGACTGCACCTAGAATGATTAATTAATAGCACTAAATTGAAGAGGAAATGTCATTAGCAGATGCCAATGTCAGTTCCACACTGCTATCACAAGTTTTTACAGATGTATTGATCAAAGCCTTGCTAACCTATTTGCATAATTATTGGTAATTTGCATAATTACTTGGCTTATCTTTGAGGTTTAAGTAAATCAATCTTCACATCTTGTACATGGAAATATATCTATCGAATTTACATCATCAAGCATCATTTGCTTGCCTATTGGCCTCCAAAGATGGCTTCTATCGGCTACTAACACTTGTCGGCTTCCCTACAGGCGATTTGTTTTTGCTTCCTACAGAGCTTACCGATAGTACTTGCCTATCGGCTTCTCGCATGGCAGCAGAAAGAAATGCTCTATCATCTCCACTGTTTCTTATCCTCTCCTCTATGTTTGGCGGCGGCCAGTAATGCTTCTATTTGTTTTATCAAGCTCGTCTTTGCTCTATTTGTTTTGGCAAGTCACTGCTTGCTTTTTTGGCCTCCTCTCCTCCTCTTCTCTCCTCTCCTCTCCTTTTTGCCTATGATGAAATTGTCATCTCCATATAATATCTGAAATGAGCTGATGATCAAATTCTTGTGAGGAACTAGGCATCATCTACCTTACCTTCATGCACTTATTTGTTACGATGCCTTGATGCTCCAAGATCATTATCAAATGATTATTGACATATTTCTAAGGCCTCTTACTCATACTCCTCCTACTTCTACTACTACTAGTAGTACTACTACTTCTACTACTACTACTACTACTACTACTGCTGCTCCTACTACTACTTCTACTACTATCCTACTACTACTAATTTCTGCCTTTTGCTTATAGCAATAAGTGATTTACTATGTTTTCACATTGTCCTGTCTTTTGCCATCAGCTGCTGCGCTATGTTTGCTAAGCAGCTATTGGTTTTTTTGCCAAATCTCTCCTCTCCTCTCCTCTCCTCTTTGTTTTGTCGATGATGAAATTGTCCAAGTCCATACATTATATGGAATATGAGCTGATGATCAAGAACTTGTGAGGAACTTGGCATCATTAGCAGCCGCCCCTATATTACCTTCTCCTCTCTTCTCTGTTATGATGCCTTGATGCTCCAAGTTCAAGATCAGATGATGATTGACATGTTTCTGAGGCCTCTACCACTGCTACTTCTCGTTTTTTATATTGTTGTTTTATAGGACTACTTTGGTTTATAGACCTTTTTGATTTCTTATACCTTCTCGTGTACCTAAAGCACATTTTCTTGCATCTTTTAGAACAAAGCATGAAATAATATCGCGGACAACAGACAGTGCAGCTCGATGCCCTGAGCATGATAAGCAGCCAACCCTTGAGGAGCAAGCACTAGAGGACCAGCTTACTCAGGAACAGTTCGATAACGAGGTAGAAAAAGATATAGAAGTGATGCTTACTCAGGAGGAGTGTGACGAGGAGGAAGGCCTCGAAGGAGAGGCTGCTGAAGGTAAAGAAGAAGAGGATGATGAGTCAGAAGAGGGATATGAAAGTCCCGAGGATCCTTTCCCACTTGAAGCAAGAAGGAGGCCAACGGAGGAAGATTTGGACAAGGATTTTGACCCGAACGAGGAGGTAGGGAAGAAGCCTTAGCATGTAAATTTTGCTAAAGCTTTGGCTGTGTTACCTCTGCTAACACTTTGACCTGTCCTATATACAGGTCCCTCCTGAAACTCAGAAAAGACGACGTCGACGTCCGCAACATCTCGCTGTACAAGACGGAGTAGAGAAAATGAGAGCAGAGGCAACAACCACAGAGACGGATAACGATGCATCTGCTCCACAAACTCAAGACACAACCACGACTACCAAGCCTAAGAGGAAACGAGGGGATAGAAAAGGAAATCTATATCCAGATAAGGCTTGTTATGTGATAACGGAGGTTGGGCCAGCAGGGGAGATCCTTGAGCCGAAGGAATTAAGAGGACGATTCTGTAATGCGATCGGAGCCCTAGTAAGAGATAAATTGAACCCAACAATCCCTAACTGGAAAGAGGTACCAGAGAACATAAAGAATGCACTATGGGATAGGCATCTGAAGGTCAATTTTAGATTTTCAGAGGGTAAGCATGAATTGGTAAAAAAAATGCTATCAGGATGATGGGAGAGTCATTTCGACGTTGGAGGTCGGAGCTCAACACGAAGTATATCCAAAAGGGGTTAACTCCCTTCAATGAGTTCAGCAAAATAACTCCTAGTCAATGGGAGGAGCTCGTGGCTCAGAAGACTTCAGCGGAGGCATTGGAGCTCAGTGCCCGTAACACCGAGCTGGCGAAGAGAACAAACACCACCATCATCTAGGCCCCGGTGGCTACTATGCCAAGGAAGAGCAATTTAGGAAGATGGATGAAGAGGCCGCAGCTGCTGGGAATATCGATGTGACGAACTTGAAGGTACGCTCAAGGAACTGGATATATGCGAGTACAGAACCATCCGGCAGTAATCTTAAGTTTAATAAGCCGGAGACCCAAGAGGCGGTATCAAGGATACTGAAATATGCTAAAGACAAAGAGACGGGCTCATTCAATCCTTCCAGAGAGAGGGACGAGCTTAGCCTTGGCTTGGGAAATAAGGAGCACACAGCCGCACTGGGGGCTAGGGAAAAGGATGACCGGAAGCAAGGATTCAAGAGGACAGGCACATGTACAAGAAACATGGCGAGACCGGGAGACTAGTCTTGAGCTCCAAGTGAAGGCTCTAGTTGCGAAGGCGCTGGAGGAGCAAGGAATATCTATGGAGCCACGTATATTAGTGATACCACCAGGAGAACTGGCATTAGTTGGCAGCCCTCCGAAAGTTCCTAGCAGCCAAGGTTCCACTGCAGCCACAACCCTAGTCGATCTCATACGGGAACCTACTAGTTGCACCTTGGTGTTTCTCAGCGGCCGGCAGAACACTATGATGGAGGTGGCAACGGTGTGGCACATCCTCCCAAAGGCTTACACCACAATAATAATATACCGTCGGAATACACTAGGGGGTCGAGGTGCATACAAGTGAAGCCCGAGTTCATGCAATGGAGGATAGACTACACCCAACTCTCGAGGGGCTGGTGTTACTCGGAGACATTATGGGGCGCCCATCCTCCGCACAAATGGGACATTATATTGATCTTCTTCTTCGCCGCCTCCCTCTCTCAAATTTCGAGTGAGTTGTTGAGGCCGGGGAGATATTTTCACCGTCTCGTGACCCCCATATTCCTGAGATGCCACATTCTTCCCCGCCTCCTATCGAGCATGTGCCTGATGAGATGCCACAACCTTCTCTAGCTCGTACTGGGAAAGTGCATCATGAGATGCCACAGTCTTCTCAACAAGCACAACCGATACATGAACAACGAGTGCCTCCTGAAGAAGGTGATGCACAAGAAGATGAGGACGTGCCTGAATGGGAACTCCGAAAGAAGATTCCAATCAACATAAGGCCAGTTTATGTTCCGATCAAAGACGTCTCATCGGTGTCCAAGTGGTATTCCCATGATCAGTTCAAGCCTGAAAACCAAGTTAAAAAAAGTCCCATCACGGGGTTCTGAGGAGGCCGTCAATAGCAAACTCCACCAAATTGCAAAGCAGTATCCAAATGTTGATGACATCGAATGGTCAAAGGATTGCCCGAAAAAATATGAAAGAGGCAAGCCCTTCCTACCAAACCGGGACATCCAGCGCCTACCACTTGGAATAAGAAGGTTCCATGATTGGTACTTATGCGTGTTCTCCCAACGAGCATAGATATCATACAAGCATGCTTTCCCACCCAACATTTGGAAGCCCAGTAGGAAAATTGTCTTTGACTTCAATGACATGCACACATGCTTTCACCGGGAGAAATGGAGATGAATCTAATTCACACGTGGTGCTGTAAGTCCTTGTCCTCCGATATGATATGAATGTAATCTTTGAATTTTGTTGTAACTAACCCACGCCGTGATTTGTAGAATGCAAGTGCACATTGTCAAACAAATGCCAAGTGTGAAGGCCGGTATATGTAGACCCTCAAGCTATAGCCCAAACAAATTTTAATTACCCTAAACGGTGGACACTTTGGATGCCAAAGAGCTAGCAAATTTGCAAAGACTCTTCGGGAGAAAGAGCGCATCCAGAAGTCTGACTAAGGAAGGAAGAGTCCCTTAAGGTTGCGGCATACATTGCCTTGGCTTTCAAAAATCTCCAACACCACTCTACTATATGGCTACCATACAACTTTGAGTAAGCTCAACTCTATACTTAAAGCTTTGTTCGATATATTTCATTCGATGCAAAATGGCTTATCTAGTTCTATGATTAAATCCATGCAGCAACCACTGGATTTGTATAGCCGTCGATGTCGGAAGGAGCATGGCATGGGTCTTTGATTCATTAGATAAGGACACGGTGACATACAAAGATTTCATATAGATTCTCAAGGCGTATACGTATCGACAATCCTCATTAGCTTATATGTTTGTATACATACTTGTAACGTTCACTTTTGGATACTAACAAGTTGTATTTGCTAAAATAATTCGAACAGGGCATTTAGATTCTATGTCACTAATCATCATGGAAGGCATGATCCAGCAAGGAAGAAAAAGCTGGCTATAAAAACACTATGTGCGGTAAGTGTAACTTACTTCTTCAGTACTCCGTTACATGGCTGTCAAAAGCATTACTAAAC